CTCTTGGTTACAACATGACAAGTACCGGTACTCTTGGTTACAACATGACAAGTATCGGTACTCTTGGTTACAACATGACAAGTATCGGTACTCTTGGTTACAACATGACAAGGACCGGTACTCTTGGTTACAACATGACAAGGACCAGTACTCTTGGTTACAACATGACAAGGACCAGTACTCTTGGTTACAACATGACAAGTACCGGTACTCTTGGTTACAATATGACAAGGACCGGTACTCTTGGTTAAAACATGACAAGTACCGGTACTTGTACTAACACTTGGAGGGTACAGGTTGAAGAAAGAGACATGGTTCAATGCTGCTGTTTTCGCCTACGATGTGTACGAGGGATTTCAGATTAAAGAAGAGACATGTGCGGCAGTGTTGGACTTAGAAGATGCCTACAATAAAGTACCATACGAATATTTAATGCAATTACTGCTTAAACTAGAAGTCAATCCTATTCTGATCCGCTGGATTGCTGCGATCCTGTTCCAGAGAAAGATTGTACTAAGATGTGGTAGCTGGTCCTCAGAACCGCAAACGATATGTCCAGGCTTGCCACAGGGATCGCCGCTATCACCAGTCTTATTCAACGTTTATACGGTGATGATCACTGAGCAGCAGTTGAATGGAAAGGGAAGGACTTTGTCATTTGCTGATGACATTTTGATTTATCGACGAGGGCGTGATAGACAGGAGATCGCCAGCACAATGCACAAAGAACTCGATCGAATTGCCGCCTGGTGTGATGGTTCCAATGCCTATGTCAATCCTTCGAAGGCATCAGTGTCATGGTTCTCTTTGAACAATCACATTGTCAAGTCGGACTTACCAGAAGTGAAAATGCGTGATAATATATTGATCAGAACCAACGTTATGACGTTTCTCGGGGTGAGGTTCGATCGCAGCTTGTCATTCAGGGAACACGTTGACCATGTGATAACAAAAGCACGCAAAGGTCTATCTGCAATGAGGATTATGGCTGCTTCCAATATCGAGCAAAGACTACTAATACTTCTATTCTACGGTCTGGTCCTTTCACCCATTGAATACGCTCTGGCCATCCTCACTGTCAGTGCTACCCAGATTGAAAGACTCGAAAAGGTGCAAAATGAAGCCATGCGCATTATTTTGGGATGTACAAGAGACACATCCTGTGAAGCAATGAGGTATCTACTTGACTTTCCAACAATGAACCAAAGGATCAGAATGTGGAGGGCTCGGGCATACCTCAAAATATGTGCTGATAAGAAAAACACCCACTGCATCAAGCGCTTTTTAGTGAAAAGGGCGACAGACTGAAGAGGGGAAAATCGTGGCTAGGTCGGGCAGAAGATGTTATTAGGCAAATATGCAGCCTAACCGACATCATACCTGGTGCAGAATGGATACCTGTGCCTCAGGCGTTTATTTGTACATTTTCCTGTATTGTCACACTCAACAGGCGATGTAGAGAAGAGAATCCTGTTGCTGTTAATGCAGAGGTCAACGCTCTCATCGGTAAAAATTCAGACGAAGCAGATGCACTAATCTACACAGACGGATCCGTTATACGCCAAAGAAGAAGCGCATGGGCATTTACAGCACGCTCAGCGGGCAGAACAGTCAAAGAAGCCAACGGTGCCTTCTCCATGACAACCAGCAGCATGACGATGGAGGTGATGGCAGTGACGCAAGCGTTTGCCTGGCTTGAAACACAAAAATACACCCGCATATGTATACTCAGTGATTCAATGAGTATGATCCGGAGGGTTCAGGCAGGTTCAGTGCGAAGACAATGGCTTGAATCATTACAGAAGTCCACTGTGCGTGGAGTCACCTTTATTTTTGTTCCGGGACACGCAGGCGTCGATGGAAATGAAAGAGCTGACAGGTTGGCTGGATCCGCTATCACTACCGACGGTCGGCCTATGGATCATGCTGATATTATCAATGCCCTCAGAGAAATGGGAAGGATAGAGGACTTTGGTGGCAGTGAATCCACATCACTCGCCAGAATGGCAGACTTGGGAATTAAGATCGGCACAGCAAAAAACGAGACGCACACCGGACACGTCAGAAGACTTGTTAATCAACATAGAACTGGTACTATTAGCCATCGGACGTTGGGGTTCATACTGAGGGGAGGATCTGAGCACCTATGGACATGTCCGGAGTGCAATGACGATAACCTAACTAACTAACTAACTAACTAACTAAGTACCGGTACTCTTGGTTACAACATGACAAGGACCGGTACTCTTGGTTACAACATGACAAGTACCGGTACTCTTGGTTACAATATGACAAGGACCGGTACTCTTGGTTAAAACATGACAAGTACCGGTACTCTTGGTTACAACATGACAAGGACCGGTACTCTTGGTTACAACATGACAAGTACCGGTACTCTTGGTTACAACATGACAAGTACCGGTACTCTTGGTTACAATATGACAAGTGCCGGGACTCTTGGCTACAACATGACAAGGACCAGTACTCTTGGTTACAACATGACAAGTACCGGTACTCTTGGTTAAAACATGACAAGTACCCGTACTCTTGGTTAAAACATGACAAGAACCAGCATTGTCAAAACACTGCACCTGCGTGCCATGATTGTTAAAACCTGATAAGTGCCAAACCTTCAAAACAAATTATACTGATTTGCCATTCAGCACTTTATTATTATTATCATCGTTAATCACTCATATCTTACGACCCCTGAGGCCTCTTCTTTTCCCCAAAATATGTAAGGAGCTCAAGGTCCCACCAGCCCCTTCCCAAACTTGGTTGTGTCAGCGCCCATGCCTCCTATTCATTAAGTGAAGGTTTCACAACGTTGACGCCCTTTCAGCTACTTACTGTGTACATCCTTGAACAGGAAGACGCCAATGACAGCCATGAGAATCACTGTAACAGGAAGCGAGTAATCTGCCAAGAGTTCTCTCTTCGCTGCAGTCAGGTACGGGCTGTTGTGAGGGTAGATCATGTTGTGATAGGAATGAAAGTAAATCATGTTGTGATAGGAATGGGGGTAAACCATATTATTGTGTTAGGAATGGGGGTAAACCATATTATTGTGTTAGGAATGGGGGGGGGGGGGGGGGGGGGGTGGGGGCAGGAATTAGGGTGAATCATGCTGGGCTAGGCATGAAGGAAAATCATACTGTGCTCTGTATGAAGGTAAATCATAGTGTGCAGGTATAAGGTTAAATTATCATGTGCCTTGGTAAACCGGGGGACGCTTTTTGACAACTATCCTTAGCCGTACAGGACTGCAGGTAGCAGCAGGCTGGTTTAGCCATTACCAGTGCCCAATTGTAACTTCTCTGGAGGTTGAACGGGCTATGGAAGATTTGTCCTATTGGTCTGCCAGACTGAGATTGTTTTTGAAAAGTTAAGCCAAACTTTTAGGAAGCGGTCGAAAATGGAAGAAACAGAAGGAAGAAGTTAAACGGCTTTTATATTATAAACGCACACAACAGCAACTAGACATGGATGCAGTGGATATGTAGTGTCATTTCATCACTTTCTATGACAAATGCATGCAAAAACAAATTGGTAATATTACAGCTACATTGAAAACTTAGCCGTTGAAGGCCTAAAGTAAAGGTATGATTAGAAATCTGACGAGGACGTTCTAGAAGTAACGTCCCTTCTGTCTTCTTCACTTTCTGTTTTACACTTCGGCATCGAGGGGGATGTACGCTTCTGCTTCTGGCTTCTCTGGTCGTCTCAAACGTAGACAAATCGCACTGTTGTAGGGTTTTTCCTGATGTTATCTTTCCATTTTGTTGTTGTATGGTATAGCGTCATAAGGCATTCTGTATGAATGTTGAATTAGGAATCGACATCACAGACCTCCGGACTCTCCTAAAATGGTTCAGTCCCTATCTTCAGCAGCAAGCGAAGAGTTCCAATTAGGATGGTACCAGTAACCGTCTCCCTCCTCTTTTTCTTGTGATCGCTTTATAATTCACACCGACAGACAAGTTCTTGTAACCATTTTTTTTTTTAGATCTTGTTAGTCCCATACAACTTTGAGTACAGTGTTGACTCATTGGACCGGTATTCCCTTTTTGATTGGCTGTACAAGAGATATTCTTGCAGGACAGGTTTCATGTCCTGAGGCGGCTGAATCTTATTCTCGTGGCCTTCGGTCATTGGAACAAAAGTTGCACCATAAACAGTTGGTGCCTCATAATGTATTATTTCCAGAAGACTGCTAATATTTACTACAGCCAACCTCCGTAGCAGAGATGACCTTTTTTTTTTCTCAAAAAAAAATAAAAAATTATCAAATGAGCTGTGACTAAAAAGCTTAACGACAAGGGGAGGGAAACAACGTACAAATAACAAACATATCGACGGTTCGGCTGCGCTTGTCTCGCCATGAACTACACAACGGTAACAAAGGGCAAAGTACTCAACCCATCATCTCCCAGGAGTAGGGTCATATGGATAACTATAAAATATAGGAAGAGCCAAATATGGTGTGGACTGAAAATCAATAATAAACAAAGGCGCGAAAATAGTCATAAAAGCAATAGGGATAATAAATAACATAAGTAGGAATAAAAGTACCAATGATTCATAACTGGTAATAATGTTGCACTCAAAGTCGACCCTTTGGGGTGCATTTTTTAATTATTATTTGAAGCCCCACCCTGGCCTCTGCCGGGGGCCCTGATGTATAGCCAGGGCATAGATATGGCCTAGCCATGGGTATGGCGTAACGGCTGAAAGATGTTTCTGGGACCTCTTCATGGATTCTTATCCGCATGCTAGCACCTTGTGTCACCGAGTGTTTATCGCTTGGTAGGGTACAGCTATCTATCTGCCAGTAGGTAATAACAGATAGAATATATTTTTACCAAAAATTAAAAAAATAAAGTAAAACTAACAAAACTGTTAAAGGCATGCTGAACATTACTAGACGTAGGGCTTATAGCACCTATACTAAAAGTAATATCTCATTAGGAATAAAAAGGTTCAAAAACAATATTTTTCTCTTACGTGTTCCTGAACGTGTACAGTGTCACTCCCAAAGAAAAAGTGCCTAGAAGCAGCAACAGGTAGAGCAGACTGACGTCTTTGGCGCATGTGCTGTTGGGTAGATCAGTGACGTTGCTTGGCATCGAGGCATTGACGACCTGCAGGATGTCCCCGACAGTGCTAAGTGATGGAGGATCACAGTAGTGGACCTTGAAATCTGGGGATGTTTGAAATAATTGTTCGTTGTTCATTTGAAGAACATCACAGTCACACATCAGACACGATCATACGTTCTCCGATCTCCTCCTGGGTATGTCTCCAAGTGTTTTTAGGCTAACAACTCTCATTCTGTTCTGGTAGATGTAACGACGGGTGGCTCCCTCGTGGTTTTCTCATCTCGCTGCCCCAGTTGGTACACCTAGTGTACGCAGCAGCCTATGCAAGGGTGAATAACTAACTGTCCCCGAAATTGAAAGCCTCACAGTTCAAAGCCATGGCAACAGAACTAAACTCATAAAAATGATTAGCCAAAAACAAGGAAACAAAATGTGCTTATATTAAGAGCTTTCCTCTAAAATAAGATTCAACTTGATAAAAAGTCATAGGTTAAGTTGTTTTCTTTCTTATTAAGACGCAGATTTTCAATAAACAATGAAAAGGAGAAGGGTTCTTAGGTTGCAATGAGGCACTAGGATAGGAACTTTTCGTGGGCCACTGAGAAAGGGTTCAGGATTGGGAATGCCCTGAGTGCAGTCATTCCTTGAGTTCAGTTAAGTTGATTCAAGAACCCACATCACAGCACTCGGGGCAATCCCAAAAGCGCTCCATCCCCATCTTTAGCAGCAAGCAAAGAGTCCAAATACCAAGGTTGCCAGTAGCATTCTGATTGAATGTCCGTCTTGGATTTCCACCAAACGTTGAGCATCGGCCTGATCCCCTCGTCACTCCCCGCTGCATCAGTCTCACCAGACTGTGGTGATCTATTTGCTGCTCTGAATTTTACACGCTCTCCCATACGGCCCGAACCACGTCTGCTTGATCGTGCATCAATATTCCACAAGGTTGTGCAGAGCTAGCCAGTCTGTCCATCTGTTCATTTCCCACCACATCGGCATGACCCGGAGAAAAAATCAAGACAATACTACTCACACGTGATTTCTGCAGCGAAGCATGCCAATCTACACGAAGCATGCCTGTCCTGACCTTCCTCAGCATGCTTTCTGAGTCAGTTACAATCACGATGTGTGTGTGTGTGAATGTGTGTGTGTGTGTGTGTGTGTGTGTGTGTGTGTGGAAGAAAAAGGGGGGGGGGGGTGTGTTCTCTAACCAGCGGAAAGCTGCAGTGACCGCTTCCACCTCCATGTTTAAGCCGGATGTCGTGGTCTCATATGCTAGGCTCTCCGGCACCAAACCATTAACTTTGCTAAGAAACCCCAAGCAATTCTTTGGCCTCTAGACACTGAACCGCCTGTTTAAATAACCATATTTCCACGTCCGTGGCACCTGCTGGCCACTCTCTGCACTCCCGGTTCAATGTCATTCCTTCAAAATACCATACGCAATTGACAAAATTTGCTGTATCATCACTAAATATATTGACAACTATGAATCTCTGTTAATAGAGTGTTACTGGAGACTCGTGCAGAGGAAGGGAGTCGCCGTGGCGTAGCGGCTAGACGCTCGCCTACTGATCGGAAGGTCATGGGTTCGATCCCTGGCGGCGCCAGACTGTTCAAAATGACCTTGACTCCCAGGTCGACCGAGCCTTGAGTGGGTACCGGGTGCAGACCAGGGAAGTAAAGGCGTACTGTGTGATGCTGACCACATCACCCATCTTGTGCCGTTTGATTTATAAAAATATAGGGCTAGCCTTATATGCCCTATAAGCGGGAGAAAGGGTCCTTTACTTTACTTACGTGCAGAGGAACGGCTAGCCGAAAGGTTAACACGTCTACTTTGAGAGACCTAGCTTGGAATCATCAGTGAGGTCATAGTTATTTGTGTGTGTGTGTGTGCGTGCGCGCGTGTGCGTGCGTGCGTGCGTGTGCGTGCGTGCGTGTGCGTGTGCGTGTGCGTGTGTGTGTGTGTGTGTGTGTGTGTGTGTCGGGGACAACATAAAACCATAATCTACACAGCTCAAGGCGAGTGCACTAGTCATATGCTCCTAAATCTTCAGGCTCAAAGACACCCTTCCTCGCTTGTACCACACAGGTGTAAATAGAAAGAGTAATGACAGTCCACCCTCCCCCCCCCCGCCCCCTCCTTGTCAATAAACAATTAAAAGGTGGAAATGCAATTGTTCGGACATGTAACAACATTTGCTGGTCTCTCCGAACCGATACTATAGATGTAAAGAAGGATAAGATAAGAAACATCAAGGATCTACAATTTTGCTGACTGTAAAGGTTTAAGACTGGCAAACTTCAAGTCAAAGGTATGGCTCTGTCAGACAGTCAGCATCGAATAGTGACCCATCAACTTGCTGTTATGAGCCTATGATGATGACCAGGGTCGTATTTGTGATGCATGGTGCTCCCGTGCACTTATTCATCTGACGTCCTCTCTTCCAAAAGCTGAACTTCTGCATCGCTATTTGTTTACAGACTACAAACAATAAATTGTGAAATTGGAATTGTACTGCTCTCACAGATGTTGCCGACCTGTGCAGCTGCACTTGTTACACCGTGCCTAAATACGGACCTATGATGATAACACGTACACACGGTGCATAATATATTTTACTAAATGTAACTCTCTACTACAGTTGGATATTCTCGTCAAAATTGCTAAATTATTTCCTCTGTGGCTCGTAACTGAATACCGTTTTGCATGACACTTGATGATTGTCGTGAAATGATAGCCATTACGCATTGGTCCGTAAGGCTGGTAACCTGACTTACCTGTAATCTTCACAAAATTCAAACTTGGACTCGCCCGGAAAGATATAGTCCCTTATATCTATATATATAGGCCTTTATTGGACAACATTATTATGTCTACCTTTTCTGGTTGCTTTAACTAAACTCTACTTTTAAATGTATATATCTTTGATATATATTAAGGGAGTTATTTGAGGTTTCGTGGAAACCGATTTACTCCTTGCTCATGTATACTAGGGACTTCTTTCTGTACCAACGCCTGAAGTGCCTAAGTGACGCTATTCTCTTTGCCAGCTTCCTAGCGTCCAGACGTGTCAATCTATGCCTGTATTATTTCATTTTTCAAGGCGATCTGGAATGTCTCAGTTTTTACATATGCTTGGGATGAGTCCTTTGTGAGGAGCTGGCAGAAGATTCACAGTCCAACCAACACCCACCAACCTAACCCAGCAATCAATTAACCCATCACCTACTTATTATCACCCAACTACCAATTGAGAAGACTGTCCTCAAGATGGGGTACAATATAACCCAAACATCATCCAGTGCCAGAGCATGTGTGTAACTCAGGGACAGTACTGTGAGTTACTCGTGGGAGCAGGTTCTGTGTACCTATCCAGTTGGCGTCCTCTATGGTGAGGTGCTCTTCCATTACCTGATCCAGTTGACCAGAATTACCAGGGTCAAAGACAGTTGATTCACCCGGAGCTGAGTGAGGCATCAACAGTGGAACTGGGATAAGTGACAATTATGTCTCAATTATGCTATATTCCCCACAGCTCCACTGGATTCCAAGGATGAATATATGCTTCTTCCAAGACTGTCTGACTGTTTAACTTTGGTTGATTATAGTCATTGTATTCTGGAATCCAGCTGTTGTGTTCTGACATCTACTTCACTATTTTCTATTTTGAATATATTACTGATTACATGCATACATTTTCATGGCTGACTTAGGTTTCTCTATTTCACCTTTTTAAGTGTTTAGCAGTTGTGTGTGTATGTATCTTCATTATATGTGTTAACATGGTTATGATAATGACTTATCATAACCTGGGAGCTTTCTTTAGTAAGTAGTGGGGGTGTCCAGCCAAGTGTGCCTAGAAATATGGTATTCATATACTGATATATTTTGTAGTGCCAATACTTGAGTTGCCCTACTCCAGAGATAAGTTGAGCGTATATTGGCCACGGGGAATCCCTTAGACCAATACGAGCCAAACGACTCAACATAATTATCTCTGAGTGCTGTTGGTTCTGAAGGAGAAATCCTTACATTAGGCACGCGACAGGAGTGATATGTGACAATGATAATAATTAAGTGGGGTCTTGCGGGAGACGTGATCAAGCCGTTTGCCTCGGTCTCCGAAGGTCTCGTGTTCGTTTCACTGTCTGGTCTTTTATTTCATAAGTACAGTTTGTTTCCCCTAAGATCCAACGAGATCGTTGCTAGAATTGCGGAATTCGTGTTTTGTGTAACGCTCTCGGCAGACGGCTAGCCGTCTTTCGGAGAGAGCATCTCCTTGTGAGATTCAATATGTCGTTATTTGGGTTCGTTTCACCGTCTGGTCTTTTAGTTCATAAGTACAGTTTGTTTTCCCTAAGATCCAACGGGATCGTTGCTAGAATTTCGGAATTCATGTTTTGTGTAACGCTCTCGGCAGACGGCTAGCCGTCTTTCGGAGAGAGCATCTCCTTGTGAGATTCAATTTGTCGTTATTTGAAGCCCTACTCTGGCTCTTGCCGGGGGCTGCAATATAGCCCGACCATAAATATGGTCTTAAGGCTGAGCGCGGTTTCTGGGACCTCTCCAATGTGATCCTCACCCACATGGTGGCATTTTGTGTCATCGGGTGTTTATCGCTTGTGTGATGTCCTAGTGGGGTAAAAGTCTACTACCACCACCACCACTACTACTACTACTACTACTACTACTACTACTACTACTACTACTACTACTACTACTACTACTACTACTACTACTACTACTACTACTACTACTACTACCACTACTACTACTGCTGCTGCTGCTGCTGCTGCTGCTACTGCTACTACGCGATGTCGGATAACCCAGTGCAACGAAGTCGATTTAACTTTGACATTTTAGACACACATGCGAATAAAAGCTAATGATTATCTTATATCAATTAATCCCAAGGCTTTTGGACACTTACTGTTCACGAAGTTTCTGTGGACATCAACCGACATGGCGATAGAGACAAACATGGCAAAAATCTCCTCCGAGGATCTAATGATCGAAAACAAGCAAAACAAGTCTTTCAGTATAAGTAATGACATCATCAGTAAAATCAAGGATCAGGTTCCCGCCACTGTCCCA